TGTAAGTCGCTTCCATGTGATGTGCAGTGTAACTATGCACCAATCCATGCCCTCTCTGCTCTCGACTCTGTTGATCTGGGGTGCACTAGTGCAGTAGTGGCGCGTCAGTGATTGGGCATGTTTGCCGATCATGACAGGCGTCTACATTGACGTCGGGACATAAGCGCGTGTCCTGCCGCCATTCACAGCCGTGTTTGTTTTAGCTAGGACGCCAGATCAACCACTGAACGCACTGACAGTCTGTGACAGTCTGTAGTGTACAATGGTGTACAGTAACAGTACGGTTTGCACACTACCGCGGTCACCAGTGGTCACTGCACTTAACTTGGCCACATGCACATGCACTGTCTGTTACCTGAACTGTCACTAGTGTTAGTGTTACTTGGTCGTGCGCTCGCCACTACAGACTACCAGCTGTGACACTGTAGCATTACAAGGTGTCCTATCATAATTGTTTTGCCGTGAACCTCCCGTGAACCTACATGATATGACTGCGGTATTGCAAAAATTTTGCTCGTATTGAACCCAAAATTAATAATAATAAGTGTTCAGGGGCATCACGTGTACACGTGAGTTCGACGACGCTGTGCACAGCTACAGATACAAGTCACGTACATGTATGCACCTCTCTGGCTCTGGACAGTGTTTTACAAATTTTAACCTGTCCAAGCAGTTTGCCGGTAGCCTCATCAATCTAGTGATTCTAGTCGTAATCCCATGATTGTTTGCTCCACCGACAATTACCACGATTATTCCAACTCAACGTCATCCGTGTTTGCAAATTCTACGTTACTTAACAAGTATAATTATTGCTAGTCATTTGCTGATGCCAACACTGCAGTTCTCAGCGATCTCTAAGCAATCTGAACCCCTCACATGACTTGGCGTGTATCATCGAGGCAATTGCTGACTAATATGACAAATAGCTTGTCTTGCAGGCAATTCGCACCGCTGGTAAGGACGTCTGTGCGTCCCCGAGGCATGTGCGCGTGTTGAGAGACCTGCCAAGATCGTCTGGAGAGCATGACCCTTTCGTGCAGCTCGCGTCATTATCATTATTGTTGTGCACCTTTCATTTTGATCTCCATGATTGTACATGTACAATGTAGGTCTAAGGAGCTGTTGGAGTGTGTGTGTGTGTGTGTGTGTGTGGTGTGCGCCTTTGCTTTTACTGTCGTATATCTGATACATGCATGAGATTACACGCACGTTAATACTCACTTCTTCCGTCTTTATCACATTGCTGTCTGAAGGCACATATCGTAAATTCGTAAACAGAGCTTGATTTGCATTTCATGCTATCGTTTTGTTAATGATGCATGATTTTGGTAACGTTCCTGCCGGAATGATTGCCTGCTTACGGAAACTGTCAAACAAATCGTATGCGTCTTCTTCCTCTTCTCGCTGTGCGTCCCAGGTTTGTCAGCGTCGATGTCCACCAAACAGGCGACACCACGCTAAGTTTAGACCAGTATAATGATAATGCGCTCCTGCTACATCGTGCCAGGTCGTTGCAGAGGGGTGTAGTCTGCACCCTGGCCCGGATCAGCAGAGGAGTACAGCGTGGAGTGCAGGGCGGGTGGTTCCAAGTCGAGCCACTTGCCACCCGGAAGAGGCCCTGCTTTCCCAAACAATGCTCGTGCCACAGTTGATAGCACTGGGAACAAAGTACAGGCACTAACGCACTCTTACGGGCTCATTAACCAATGTCAAATCATCACTGATGCTGAATCTCTGTGATCTTGAACAGCCACAGGGACTTCATCGCCTGATCCAAACTGGTGGCCAGATGCAACCGGGACAGATGCTGAACAACATGTTGCAGAGCGTACCTTTTGTCCAGCGTGACCTGGAACGTATGCCGAAAGGCAGGTGCCTGCACGCACTGGTCAGGAGCAGACAGGGAATCAGACGTGATGAGGTGCTAGGGCTCCGCCAGAAGAACAAGCCACACTTGAACTGCTTAGAGATGGTTGCAAACCTGGAGACATGTCGACACGAGAGAGCTGTTCACGAGAAGAGGAGAAGTCATGTAGTAGGCCAGTGTTTGAACACGTCTGGATTGCCAGTACAGCAGTGGTAGCTCCATGCCGTCAGACCTTACTGCAGTGATGATACGACTGACTGCGGATTTCCAAGCACAACACATCACTGCTGCAGTTGAGATGAAGTGGAACCACTTTGCACCTGATAGTCTCCGCCGATCCATCCCCCAAAATGTCGATACCTGGGCCATCCGCCTCACGCTCCGTGGCAAAAACAAACATCCTTCTCCGCCAGGACTAGCATTAGTTCCTGGTTAGCTTACAGCCTACTTACCATGACAGGATTATTGTAGCCAGCATTTAAAACCTTCATCGTGTGCCCTCTAAAAGTGGTGTGCTTTGATAGAACCTTGACATGTACTCACTCCACCAACTCAGCTAGAACAGGTTGCAGGCTGTGACCATATATCAGCTACATGTACATGTAAATAAATAATACAGCATCACAATCACCCAGTGTCCAGACGGCCATGGCACAGAAGTGGGGGCCCGACCTCTCACGGATCGCCCCGCTGCGTCCCAGACCGCCAGAACCGCGCGTCCATTTCCGGGCAGCGCGAGGCCAACCAGGCGATAAACACTGAATACGCTATGTACAGGGGACAACAACTAATCGTCAGTAGCTGGAGCTATAGAGGTACATGAACATGTTTTGCTAGATCGCGGGCAGATGCTCGCCACCATCCTTATCCATCTACCCCTGGTTCGTGCCTTGCGAGCACCAGCTGCACATCCAGCAGAACGTGTTTGTCTTGAGCTGAACGTACACACGCGTACATGTACAACATTAACACTAGTGCGGTGGCAGTAGAAGGGATGAGAAAGCTGGACACCTGACGTAACTGTGGCCAGCATTGTGCATGTGGCGTCCAGACAGGTCACTACAGACGTACAGTAGTACATCGACTACATGTACTAGTAGCAAAATAGAGTACTACATGTACTGGTATTGAGTGGTAACTTACTGACCTGCATGTAAGCTCAACAGGATATAGGCCATGAATTCAGTAGTGATGATCCTGGTTCCTTTGGCGCTGGCTACTGTGTCAGCGTTCAAGTATCTACGTTCGTTCCATTGTGTTGCGGCATCACAAACGCTTCCTGGCCGGAAATTGCCCTCATGCACACCAACGTATACCCGTCCACTGATAGCTTTATGGAGCCAACGGGGTTAGGCAAGGAACTCTCTGTGGGGAAATGGTTATGATTATTGGGCCTAGTTGTACACAATGACAGCAATCAGCTGCATGGGAATTGGTTCAGTAAGGGCCCCTTGTTCTGTGCGCTGAGCTGGAGAGCGCCATTTGTGGAGATAGGATGTAGCCAGCAGCACACGGGAATTGAGTTTATCTTGTGACATGGCATTTAACCACACTGAACTACTACACGAGGCACTGGTCGTCCATGCAGCTGCTGACTGCGACTGATGCTTGTGCTGAACGATTTCCTTGCTGGACATGGTAGCAGAAGGCGAGCTGATGATCCCTACGTGAATGTACCATGTTACTTGCGTATCGATTTTTGTGAACGTGCCGGAGGATGAGCTGCATCGGCTGGTGAGGTTATCGCTGCCGACTGCGTGCTTCTGATGCCGATCATTCAGTTGGCACTATCAGTACCCGTCACACGCACGTGTCACGCTAGAGTAGTGGAGAGGCCTTCGGCAGGATGACATTGGCTAAACGAAAGTCTCAGGTACCTTCTCACGTCACCTGACTACCAAACAGTTAACTGCCTGGTGCTCACAATCTCACACACGCTGAATGCATGGCCTCCAACAATCAAAGAGCCCGATGCATGTTACCTCAGTGTTTGTGTTCTACTCTCTCGACCCGTCTCTTCCCCCGATATCCAATACCCTAACAGACTCCTTCGCAAGTCACGACATGTTTAGTTTCCAGGACAAAGATTCACGTGCCAAGTAGGAGATCAAAATCAAAGGGAAATGAAGGACTGGAGGTTGAGTAGAGATGTCCACGTCGTGCAGAGACTGCACTTGGTCCAGAGAAAATACAAAATTATGGATCAGGTCAACCTTCACCCTAGTACTAGTAGGTCAAAACACGTCTACTCTCACCAACCTGACCTGATGAAGCCGCGTCCATCAATTATTTCCCTTGCATGCAATCTATACATAGCTTCTATTAAAAGTGCTTTTTGGATGGAACAGTGGTACTCTCTGTGACCACTTCCAACATCCATTGATTGATCTTATTGCCTTTATCTTGCACAAGACGAACGTGGCCAATATAAGCAAAAGAGTTATTAAGACTCCTACGCAATCGGACACGTTTCTTCAAGCACTCAAATGTCTTCGTTCTGCTGAATCACTAACCTAAAAGTTAGATTCAAACTCTCAATGATGACGGTGATAACGTCACGTGTCCATGTAGGACAAGGTGGAACTGCACTGCTGCCCTGTCAAGGCAGAGTACAGCTAGTGTTCAAGGATTTCCTCACTGAGTCGAACTCTTGACGCTTTACCGTCCGGCCTCAGTTCTAGTCAATGCTGAACACAGCCTGGGTTTTCCACACAAAGGCCCTGTTACTTATTAGTAGTATTATCGTCAATGGGCATAGTGATGTACCTGTACTGGCTGTAGTGTTGTACATGGGCATGTGCATGTAGCTCGAGGGTAAGTCTTTCGTCGGCTATCTCGCCCCACCATGAAGGACCCGAGGGCTTTTCCTTTAGGATCGAGTCCACACACAATGTAGGAACGCTTTACATCACCAGCTGGTCACCCCAAAGCTGTACTGGTGGATGAGATGAGCTCCAGTCACAGGAACAGCTCGTCTGTTGGCTACAATAATTAATGAGCACGATCAGTCGTGGTCCCCCCCCCCCCCTGTCTACATCTGATAGCGTTCAACGGCTGCCCTACCAGCCAGCTGAGCGACCGGCCGGGTGTAGCAACAGTTTAACGCCACACTCACAATGAACACGTCGGGAAGTTGATGGTACCAAGTAATCTATTACGATTAGTTTGCTGAATTTAATGGGCTGCTTGTGTGTTTCAGATTGAGGAGAGAGAATGGCTTTGGTAGAAGAGTTACTAATGAATGCTGTTCGTAGAGGTGAGAGGGGAGCTTGGGGGAACACAGTCAGGGCGGTTAAGAACAATATAGCAGTATTTAGAGCAGTGAATGGGAAGTGTCCACATGTTGCTGTCAAAGAAACCTGATGTGGGTTGAATGGGGACTCAACCAGGGTATGGCAAGAGTGGAAAATAGGAACGTACAGGGCAGCAAAACAAGGAAGCACTCAGAGTGTTGTGAAGCAACGTGGGCGCAATCATGTCACGCGTACAGGATACTGCTTTCACTCCATGGCTTGGTCAGGCAATATTCTGCCTAAGTGGGGTCATTGAAAAGCAATTATAATTTATTGGAAATGAGCATCAGGCGATGTACATGTATAGTTTCAGTTACGTACGAATGTTTCGGTTTGGAAGCAATGATATAGCGTTATTGTAATGGCAAGGCAAAGAAAAGGATGGTAATTATGAGCCAGATGGACCAGTGTTCCACTGGCGAGTACGAGTTTAGTCATACACACTGCAGTGTGCAGGGTTCAGTGCAGAGGTTCTAGCTCTGCTTGCTCACGTCACGTGCAGCCTGTGCACATTTTCCTTGTCGCGTGAGTCGGGCTGTTCAGGCTCTTCGGCGATCAGGATACCTCCTGCCGTCAGATGTGCGACGGACTGGCATTCCTCGGTTCCTGGTAAGTGTGGACTGTATCTGCCGTCTTTCCGGCCTCTGAGAGAGTCTTCAACTCAGCGTAGCTCTCTCTTGCGTTAGTTCAAGTCGCTGACAAGCTGCACCTTGGGATGACGCTGATAGCTGGTAAACTAGTAATTGCGTGTGGCTGGCACGCTCGGGATAATTCCGTGTCATTCTCCTGGGGAGCTGACGTTTAGCGAACATTGGCGCTGTCACCACGCTGGGCCGCTGTCACGAGTTCCGTGTGTTGCTTACGATGTCGTTTTCAACGTGACCATTCAGTGACTGCCAATGACTGAAAGTCGTCGAGAAGTAAGTTGGCGTTCATGGTTGAACAAAGGGTGGTTGTCTTTCTTTCATTACTGATGGTAGTGAGGATGACGACCACGCGACCAGCATCTAGGCTAGTCATTCACCTCGCTCTCCAGCTCAGTCAGAGTGGACAGTAGCTGCTTAGCGCTGGGTCGGGCTGTGGGATCGACGTTCCAGGCTTGCTTGAACAGCTCGCAGTAACGTTCGTCCACGGTGTTATCGAACTGCTCTGGGAGCTCAGGCCGTAGGTTGTAGGACACCACACCGAACACGATCACCTGATGCTCATCGTCTGCGTACGGACGCTTGCGCGTTAGCAGTTGCCACAAGCAAATGCTCAGGGAGTAGATGTCGCTACGGTCTGTGGCCACCTTTCCTCGCAGCAGCTCCGGTGCACGATAGGCATACGTACCGGTCATCATGGACTTGGTTGGGGTATCAGCTTTGCCAGCTGCCTTGTTCAGCGAGCAGCCGAAGTCGGCCAGTTTGCAACGATCGTCCGAGGACACGATGACATTCAGCAGCTTGACATCCAGGTGAAGAAATCCACGGTTGTGCGCGTAATTGAGACCGCTCGTCATGTCCTTGGCGAACTTCAGCCGACGGGAGGTGTCAATGCACTCGCTTCGATCATTGACCAGTGACTGCAGGTTGCGGTCCCCAGCATACTCCATCACCAACATGGGCAGCAGTGCATCGTCCGACAACTCCTGGTCCACACACAGACCCAGGACGCGCACGATGTTCTCGTGCTGGAGGGTCGCAGCGCGAATCTCGGCGTAGAAGCTGTCGGAGAAGCGATCCTGGTTCTTGTGCTGCTGGTGCGATTGCTTCACAGCAACTTCCAATACTCCTCCATAAACACCATAGTGCACTCGACCGAATCCACCTGATCCCAGTACGGTCAACAGGTCAAGATCCTTACGTTCCAACAGGGGAAGCTCAATCTGCTCGCTGCGCTCCTCCGACTCGCCAGTGGCGATAATGACTGTGTTCTCGTAAACCATTGTGGAAAGTCTTAAAGTCAGTAGTACTGAACGCTGTAGGAATGATGGACACAATGTCAGGTTGTCGCGAGAAATACTCTCGATGTTTGCTAGATCTTGGCCGAACCCAATCTGGGAGTCACCAGCTGTCCACTGGGTTTTATAGTAGCGCGATCGCTGGGCTGCAGCCAGCGCAGGGCTGGGACCGCGCAAGCTGCTAGCTAGCTGTCGGCCTGTCCAGGTAGCTAGCGCGGCACAGCAGTACTGCACTGCACTGGTACATGGTAGACTCTAGACTCGATCTGCCCGGGCCAGGGTAAGTAGCACACGTGTATGACTGAGTGACGGCAGCCAACAGCTAGCCATCACCACACGCACGGCCATCCCAGGCTAGCTGACAGTCTGTGCACGCCGCACACTGTTTACCTGTTCAGCGCAGCGCAAGCAGGATAGGACCCCTGGCCTTGGCCTTGTGTGCGGACGTTGCCCCAAAAAGTGTAGGTAGTTTTTTTGAGCAAAATGCACCTACCATCATTCACGTAGCAGCCATCTCAAGCGAGGTTTGCCACTTTAGGTGCTAACGTTGGAGCTGACTTCGCGCGAAGGAATAGTAACTGTTGTAGGTGCTCATGTCACGCAGTCATCAGAGAAACCTGCTGGTGTAATCAAAATAATTGGCTTCCAACAATCTAAAAAGAATATTGTCAATGGGTTTTGAAGATGAATTTGTGGTATAGAGCTCCCTGGACTATTTTGATCGTGCCATTCTGCAGCACAGCCCACACGCGACTGTACCACTGCACAGCGAAAGTTAGCTCCGCAGATGAGCCTGCACTAATATTGTTAGTTTACAATGGGGGAGAGAGGGAAGGGGGGCTCCAGCCAATATTGCTCTCTCGCTATTGAGTATTGTACGTGCACTCTTTCTTGAGTCGAGATCGGTCAGCCCTACCCATTTGGTGGATAATTCTCTTGTGCTATTAATTTTGGGGATGTACAATGTAGGTTCCAGAAAAGTTTGTTCATCCTCCCGTGTGGCGAACAATATCCATTGTATTGACCCCCAGACGTCATTGCATTGCACACAGACATTGCAGGGGCTGCCGTTGGTTCCACACAACCTTTGTATAGTATTACTGAGTTGCTAGCGTCCTCCTATGTGCGGTTATAGCAAATCATAAGGTGTTTTCATGGTGTGCGTATGACAAAAGTATCCCATAACCACTGCCACCATCAACACACTCACAGCCCTGATCATTTTCGTCTGCTGAAGCCGATCGCCGACTCAGAGTTCAAACGACCCTAAAACTCGGTGAGGCCCTGTCCATGCACACTTGACGTGCATGTCTCGGTGCCCATACTGCAATCATGGTGTTGACACGGAATGATTTGCGCTACATTCGCGTGTTGCCCTGCCGTCTGAGGGTGCTGTTAGTGCGCCCTCTTTGGCACAGTACGGCTCACTGGAGACGGCGAAACACTGCTCGCGCCGAAAAGGCCTTTCAGTTTGCGACATGTACACAATGTAGATAGACAGCGAGACAACAACATCAGTGATTGCTTGTGAGACTCACTCATACTGTCTCTGTGATGGCACAGAGCCGAGTGACTGCTCACAACATACACTGGTAGTGGTAGATCTACAGCCGTACAGGCCATCAAAGTATGTACTTGAAAGTGCCTCGGCGCGGCTGCTTCCCGTCAGGGCCGTCACCCTCCTCCTCTTGGCCAGGGCAGCTTGCACCGACCTGGAACTGTCGACTAGGCTGAAGGCAGTATGCACCACCAGGTTCTACTCGTGTGGCCTCCAGTCACTCGCCGCGCGTCACTGCAGTCTGGCTTGCCCGCATGTATGTGTGGTCACTGCAGATGTGTGCACCCATGATCTAGTTGTGCGATCGGCTGGCTAGGCGGGCCTGAGGCGATGTTCAGCACAGTTTCGACGAACAGTCTGTCCTGCTTTGCGCTAATGACGGATTCGCGTTGCGTTTGGGCATGCTGGGATAGGGTACTTTTGCGACTCGTTATAATAACATGTCTTACAGTATTTTGTCTGGCGCTTTAGTTTAGCAAATATACATGTATGCAGCAATCAGCACATCTCATGTCACGCACAAACACATTTGCGGCGAGGATGTCCGCAGTGGCCGCGTCTGTCGCGCCCAGTCCGGCCCCCAGCCCCATGTTACAAGCTGAGAAATTTTCTGAGCGCCCTTGGAAAGGACTGTCCACTTGTGCAGACATTGGCGGCATGGAATGCTACTCCGCCCGCACACTCCACTGCAGGACGCAACGGTCCTTCCGAATATGACCTTGATTGGCGGCATTTGTTTTTGCATTGGGGGAAAGCGTTCCCCCACAATATTCAATGTTCTGCCTACGATAGATTCTGATCAGACAGACCACGCCATTACTAGTACACTATACTTTGCACGTGTGTTTGCGGAGCAGAATATTCATGTGTTGCACGACTGGAAGAATATACTGATAAAGAAAAGCATAGTTCAACCCAACAATGTCGTAGTAGCTTCTTTTAAGGGCAAAATAAACGTTATGAATATTTTTTTCCCAAGTGTTCAAAAAAAACTTCAACTCAAAGTTCTAGTACTTGTCGCAGGGTCATTGTTGATCTTGGCTAGGCTGAGTGTGTGTGTGTACGTGTGTGTGTGTGTGTGTGTGTGTGTGTGTGTGTGTGTGTGTGTGTCCATGATGCATGATGTTGGTGCTACGAAGTGATTAACACCCCAACGGAGGGAGTACATGGTGCTTGCTCCCCATACCACCCCATACCTCAGTATGGAGAGCAAGCACAACGACTTGAAGGTAGAGTATAATCAGAGGCCCAGTCCACATCCGGACTTGGTTCCCATCTGATGGCGCAGTGCACACCCAACAAACGGTAGCCTTCAATTATCTCCATTATAATGGTTCATGTACCATCATTTCAGGTACATGTAGATGGTCGCGGAGCACACAATTTTTTGACGAAATATGGTCTTCACTGACCCACTTTTTCCACCCAGCCAGAGGCAACCGTAGTAACGTATTGGTTACTAGGGACTCGGCGAAACGGAAATATCCAGGGTCATTACGTAGAACATGATAGGCGTCTATCGTTGGTGCTCAGCACAACACGTGGCGGCCAAAGTCACTGCGTGAGTGTGTAGAGTTTCAGCATGGCAGGTAACCATCACTGGTCTTGTTTTGTGATCGCTCCTTGACTTTCCACTTATTGGCCTGCGCGAAACCCGTGCGCGCATCTGGTTTGGTGGCGCTGGAATTAGTTCCTCAACGGTGAAGCGAAGAAGGCTAGATCAAGCAGCAGAACAGTACACTCGCTCTGCCTCTGACTTGGTCGTGTTAAGTTAGTTAGTTCAGGAGGTGTTGCTAGGCCGTCTACTTTGGTTGCTTGATGTTTATAGCGCAGAGAGTAGTGTGCCAGAGTGTGTGTGTTCGCACTTTCGAGTGGGTCCATCACACGGCCAACTGGCTTCAGCAAACCCCTACTGTAGCAGCGGAACAGAAATACTCACTCTCCGCCACATGCACATACACCATGCACATACACACACACACACACATACACACACACACATACACACACACACACACACACACACACACACACACACACCCCGCATGGGCAGTGCCTGACTACTAGTACTAGCTAGCTAACAACCAGCACTCTACACAGATTCGCCACGGACACATCCACTTCCTACTGTGGGAAACACTTTCCAGCCGCACCGCCTGTTCTTCGTAACACGGAAATCAGCTGATGCGGCGATTGCCAAAAACTACAATTCCTAGTCTGCTGCCTGTTTCGGGCCGCAAATCACAACTCACAAACCAGTAGTGATCCCAACACACCATCCCCTGCCTGCATTCTTCAGTAAAGTGTATCACAAATTGAAGGGTTTTCTCGTGTCGAGTGCGCACAATTACGGTAATCCCACCGTCCGGTTTCTCGACACGACGCCCCTAATCTTTGTCTGTTTTCCTGAGACAAGTCGCTGTTGATTTACTTAGTACGCGCGCTGTCTGTGAAGTGACAGCGCCGAGTGCTGTTCATGTGTTCTCCGGTTTGTCGGATACTGAGTACATAGGTAATCACGTCCACAGTCAGTTTACCTACAAAACTCTCGACGTCTCACAATTGCACTTCGGTATGAGCAAACTGGATCGGCCTAGGCCCTAGCCTAGGCCTAGCCTGTGGCGGTATGTGCGCGTGCTGTGCGCTGCAGGTGAGCGTGTTGCCTAATGCGACGCGACAAAATGCGTGGGCAGCTATATTTAGCATCAACTGAGTGTGTCCGGATCTTGAGGCTGGAGCTGAATGAGGCTTCAGTACGAGCGCAGCATCCAGCGAACACGGACACAGGAACTAGTGAGGACAGGAGTAGGCAAGCCCTGGCCCAAAATAACCTGGACAGGCCTGTCAGCTTGGCCAGTCCTGGCAGCGTTTGGGTGCAGTCGAGTCGGGTTTGGTGCAACAGCACTGGCATTGGGTGAGAGACTATGACAACAAGACCAGGGAGACGAGTAGAGTGCCTGTCCGAAGCTAGTTGTGTGCTATTTCAAGTGGCTGCATCCTTGGTGCGGCCGTAAGGCCTGGCAACGATTATTATGACAAACTCTCTTCCGGGCCTTCATGGTACGAGCAGTGTGTGAGTGGGTAGACGTACTTGTACAGGTATTCGATGAGATACCACTACGCACTAGTCACTGTCAGTGCTGTTGAACGGTGTTGGTAGGGAAATCCCGTTGATTAGTTTGCTTCGGCCAAGCCTAATCACGGGACAAACCTCTCCAAAGGATCTTGAGCCAATAATCATGTAGAGTCGAGTGTGGGTATCATTGTCTCAGAACAGCTACATGTATTATTCCCCTGTTTGTGTTAGCAACAGTCCCCGCCACTAGCAGTGTTTCTTGCGTATACTACTAGTACTAGTACATGTACTGTCAACTGCTGTGGTAATCAATGCCACACAGTCGTGGATATGGAAGAGTTTGTTTTGTGCACGGCGAGCGTGTAATCACTAATGCAGTATCGACTGCAGTGCCTCTGGCTCTGAACAAACACTGATCCACACTGCCACTGACAGTGTGAGAGTGGTGGCGTGCTTACAAACACCGTTATTACAGG